CCTCGGCAACCTCGCCAACCTCGGCGAGATGATGAAGCAAGCGTCGCAAATGGGCGCGCGCGTCCAGGAAGTCCAGGAGCGGATGAAGTCGCTCCGGGTTACCGGCGAGGGGGGCGGCGGCATGGTTCAGATCGACATGACCGGCGCGCAAGAGGTGCTCGCCGTGCGGGTGGACCCCGGCCTCGTCGAACGCGGCGAGCGGGAGATGATCGAAGACCTCACCGTCGCGGCGATGAACGACGCCATCGAGAAGGCCCGCGTCCTCCATGCCGAAGCCATGCAAGAAGTGACCGGCGGCATGAACCTCCCGGGCATGAGCGACATGCTGGGCAAGCTCGGCGGGGAGCAGCAGTAGACCGATTGGGTGACATAGAAGGTCCGGCAGCAAACCCTTCGGCGAGCCGGTAGCGTGAGCGCCCGGAGTGACGTGGGTACCCGCTTCCCTCCGGGCGCTAGCGCTTCCGGCTCGCCGTCTAGCGTCCGCCGCTTGTGGCCGCCCACAAGCTACACTTGCAGCGACCCCGGTCGTTGACCTTACGGCCCCCCAGGCGGTATGGTACACGAGTTGCTAGGGCCGCGGCGGCGGACCTCAACGTCTACCGCCCGCCGTGGCTCTTCACACGGATCGAACACCAGCGTCGGCGTCAGGGCCTCTCCTGCGCCGGACAGGCGGCACACAAGGGCGGAACGATAATCATGCGAATGTCCTTCGGGCAATCGATGCAGATGGCGCAAAAGCAAGTGCTTGCGCCACGCATGATTCAATCCATGGAGATCCTCCAGCTGCCGATCCTCGCGCTGCAGGAACGGATCGAGCAGGAGCTGCAGGACAATCCCTGCCTCGAGCAAGTCGAGCCCGACGGCGAGGACGTCTACGAGCCCGAGCGCGTCGAGCGCGAAGAGGGCGAGCGCGAGTTGGTCGTCAAAGAGGACTCCAACAACGAGGACGATTTCGAACGCCTCGTGAACATGGCGGAGAACCTGCCGGACGACTACGAGGAACGCAGCCGGCCGTCGCAGGGCCAGATGGAGGCGGACTCCGATCGGGCGTTCGACCAGATGGCGAACATGACCGCCCGGCCCGAGACGCTGTGCGACTACCTGCAGCACCAACTCTCCTGGTTCAACCTCGAAGAAGAACTCCGCCGCATGGCGGAGCGGATCATCTACAGCCTCGACACCAACGGCTATCTCAAGTCGCCGCTCGAAGAGCTGCTGCCGCCCGTCCCGCCCGACCTCAACGGCAACGCGGACGTGTACCGCAAGGCGCAGCTGGAGCTGGCGCAGAAGGCGCTGACCGTGGTGCAGCACCTCGACCCGCCGGGCGTCGGCGCGCGGTCGCTCAAGGAGTGCCTGCTGCTCCAGCTGCCGCCGGGCCACCCGTTCGAGCCGGAGATGCGTGTCCTCATCGAGAGCCATCTCGAAGACCTGCAGAACAACCGGCTCCCGCAGATCTCAAAGAAGACGGGCATGTCGCTCGACGACATCAACGAGATCTGGGAAGAGATCCGCCTGCTCAAGCCGAAGCCCGGCGCCGAGTTCGCCGAGTCATCGGTCCCCAGCGTGCGCCCCGACGTGTTCCTCGAGAAGGACGACGAGGGCAAGTACGTCGTGCGTCTCGAAGACGGCGACCTGCCGAGCCTGTACGTCTCGCCCTACTACCGCAAGCTGCTCAAGCAAGCGGCCGACGCCGACGAAGAGACTCGCGAGTACATCAAGCGCAAGATCAACTCGGCCCAGTGGCTGATCGAGGCGATCGAGCAACGCCGCAGCACGCTCAGCCGCGTGTCGCAAGCGATCGTCGATCACCAGACGCGGTTCCTCGACGAGGGCCCCGAGTCGATCGAGCCGCTGAAGATGCAGCAGATCGCCGACCGCGTCCACGTGCACGTAACGACCGTCAGCCGCGCCGTCGACGACAAGTGGATCCAAACCCCGCGCGGCATTTTCCCGCTGAAGCGGTTCTTCGTCGGCGGCACACAGAACGCCGACGGCGAGGACGTCGCCTGGGACGTGGTGCGGATCAAGCTGCAAGAGATCGTCGACAAGGAAGACAAGTCGAAGCCCCTCTCCGACGACGCCCTCGTAAAAGAGCTGGCGAAAGCCGGCATCGAAGTCGCCCGCCGCACCGTAACGAAGTACCGCAAAGCCATGGACATCCCCAGCAGCCGGCAGCGGAAAGACTGGGCGGCGGAGAAGAAGTAGATTGGCTAATCCGTTGTCGGCGGATGCCGGCTCAGTTGAACCCATATGCCGCGTAGTTCGATCATCGTCTGCCGATTGATCTTGAGCGCTTCGATGGTCGATCGACCCGTCGGCGACAATCCGACAAGTCGCGTGGCCGGAACGTCCCAAGCGAAATGCTCTTCCCACTTATTCCGACAAGGATGAAACAACGGCGCTTCACTGCCCGTTACGGGATCAATCGCTGCGACTCTCTGAGCTTTGTGCCGGTTGCACATCGGACAAGCCAAACAGAGATTGTCTCGTGAATCATCTCCTCCAAACGATGGAGGGATGATGTGGTCTACCTCGAAGGTGACCGGGATCATGGTCTCGGCTGACTGGCAGTAGGCGCACCTGTGACGGGCGCCCTCGCGGATGCTGCGACGCAATGACGCCGACAGAGGGCGGCTCACGGCTCTTTAGCCAGGTTTTGCAGCGCGAGAGACGCTTTGGCTTTGAGGAGGCTGAGCCGATCTACTCGTTCGAGTAGCTGATCGAGTTCAGCCATCTCGTCGGGACTGGCCGACCCGGCGTTGCAGCTAGCTAGCAACGCGTCGAGCCGCTTCTGCTGCGGTATTGAAACCCGCACCTCGGCTAGCGCTTCCAGCTCTTGCCGATCAACATGCAGGACAGTTGATAGTTCGCCAGACAAAGTAGTTGCACTCACTGTATGGAACGGGATGAGCCGTATCTGAAAGTATCATATCCCGCTACGGCCGCCGACTCCAAACGCGCACACCTCGCTAGCAAACCGGCTTTTCTTTGCTTGGAATCGGCGTCGTAGCTACCCAAAGACAAACAGGGATGATCACAACCCCACGGTAGACATCCGCGTTCATCCGCGTCCATCTGCGGCTGATTTCTTCGGACGAGACCAATAGGCCCGCCAGAGGAACTGCGGGTTGCCTAGCACGTAGCGGCGCCAGAGGCGGCCGGGGTCGGCGATGAGGCGGGCGGCCCATTCGTGGCCGGCCCTGCGGAGCCACTCGGGGCCGCGGGCTTGCTCGCCGGCGTAGTAGTCGAACGTCGCTCCGAGGGTCCAGACGACCGGTGCATTGAGGCGATCGCGATTCGCTAAGACCCAGTGCTCTTGGATCGGCGAGCCCATGCCGACGAGGACGATATCGGCGTCGAAAGCGTTTGCGGCGTCGATCGCTGACGCGGTCTTCTCGGGACTAGCGACGTAACCATTGTGCGTGCCGATTGGGTCGAGGCCGCCGACGAGACCGCCAATTCGGCTATCGATTTCGGCAACGGCTCGCTCAACGACACCAGGTTTTCCAGCGATCACAAAGACTCGGAGGTCCTTCTCTTGGCAGCAGCCCAACAAGTCCGGCAGCCAATTGGCGGCGGTCATGCGCGGCGGCTCGGGCAAACCTTGCAGCCGCGCGCCCCAACCAATGCCCTTGCCATCGCAGTAGACGAGGTCGCACAACTCGTTGAGGTAATGCCGCAGCAGCGCGTCGTGCGCGGCGAGGTTGGCGACGTGGATGTTGAGATAACCCACCGTCCGCCGCGCCGACTTGTCCCGCGCCGCGGCGACGACGTAGTTGAACAGCTGTCTTCGATCGACAGGATCGACGGCGAGGCCGGTGACTTCGATTCGCGGCGGTAGTTCTTGCATTGGCTAAGAATGGGACGCGGATGACGCGGATTTAAGGGATCGACACAGATGACGAGTAAGTTGTTTGTCTGAACTTCACTTCTGATCCGCGTAAATCACTTTCATCCGCGTCATCCGCGTCCCATTCTTCTTCAAGACTTCAACGCCGCCAGTAAGGTCGCCACGTAGTCGCCGACTTCCTTCAGCACTTCGGCTTGCGGGCGGGTCGCGGCTTCGGCGACGCGTTTGACGATGGCCGAGCCAACGATTAGGCCGTCCGCTACGGGGGCCAGCAACTTCACGTGCTCCGGTTTGCTGACGCCAAAGCCGATGCAGATTGGCAGCTTGGTCTGCGTCCGCAGCCAGCCGACGTTGTCCACCAGTTGCGGCGGCAGCTCGGTGCGCTCGCCCGTGATGCCGGCCACCGAGACGTAGTAGACGAAGCCGGTGGACGTTTCGCAGATCCGCACCGCCCGGTCGCGCGGCGTGGTGGGCGTCACGAGCTGGATCAGCGACAGCCCGCGCGCGGCGGTCACCTTCGCGAGCGCCGCCGACTCGTCGAGCGGCAGGTCCGGCACAATGAGCCCCTCGACGCCGCGCTCGGCCACGTCGTCGCAGTACTTCTCGACGCCGTGGCGGTAGATGATCGCGTAGCTGACCATCGTCACCACAGGAGCAGGCAAAGCCGGGCACGTCTCGCCGAGCATCTCCAAGATCGAAGCCAGTTTGATCTTCTTATTCAGGGCCCGGGTGTACGACGCCTGGATGACCGGCCCGTCGGCGATCGGGTCGCTGTAGGGGACGCCCACCTCGCAGAGGCTCGCCCCCCGGCCAACGACCTCCCGCAGCACCGCCGCGGTGAAGGCCACGTCGGGGTCCCCGGCGGTAACGAACGGCATCAGGGCCTTGCGGCCTTCGGCGCGGAGCTTGGCGAAGAGGTCGGGGATCGCGGGCATTGCGATGGCGGAATTTGGATTGCGGATTGCGGATTGCGGAAGTCGACTACGGCGAGTCGTCGGGGCGGAGCCGCATCTTCTCGATTCGGCGGGCCGAATGGTAGAGCCGGAGGATGCGAAGCTCTCTCCCGGCTTGTTCGTAGAACAGCAGATAACGACCGATGAGCACGCGGCGGCAGCCGCCGACGCGGTGGTCTCGTTCACCTTGGGTCGGCTGAGCGCACAGCAAGTGAATGCGGCGATCAACTTCATCGACGAAGCGGTCGGCTGCCTCGGCGCTGTCTGCAGCGATGTGCTTCCAGATGGCGCCGAGGTCTCGGTGTGCCGGACCAGTAAAGATCGGCTGAAGCATCAACGGCCGCCGCGCTGCTGATGCATCTCAGCAAGAAACGCACCCTTGTTCCACGGGGCCACGTCACCTTGGGCGATGGCCTCTTCGGCCTCCTCTAGCCCCCGCCGCATGTACTCGATGTGCTCGGCGTCGGCCTCGGGAACCGCGGGCTCCTCGAAAATTACGTACTGCTTGTTCGTCTTGGGGTCGCGAATACGAAGACAATGGTCTTCCGACTGGGCGAGCGCTTCGACTTGTTCGGGCGTGATCTGGACCATGGCAATGCTCCGGTTGGTTAACCGTAGTTTACTCCCTTCAACCGTGCGATCTCCATCGCGTCCTTGTCCCCACGCCCGCTTAGGCAGATAACCACGACGTCGTCCTTCGAGCGCTTCGCCGCTAGCTCCATCGCCTTGGCGATGGCGTGCGAAGTCTCTAGCGCGGGCATGATCCCTTCGTGCGACGCGCAGGCGTCGAACGCCGCCATCGCTTCGTCGTCGCGGCAGCTCGTGTACTGCACGCGGCCGGCGTCCTTCCAGTAGCTGTGCTCGGGGCCCACGCCGGGGTAGTCGAGGCCCGCCGACATGCTGTGGACGTCGCACGTCTGGCCGTCCTCGTCCTGCATGACGTACGAGAAGCTGCCGTGCAGCACGCCGGGCTGGCCGTAGGTGAGCGGGCTGGCGTGGTCGCCGGGATTGGCGGAGCGTCCGCCCGCTTCGACGCCCACCAGCTCGACGCCCTCGTGCTCGACGAACGGATAGAACATGCCCGCCGCGTTCGAGCCGCCGCCGACGCACGCCACCACGAGGTCCGGCAGCCGGCCGAGCCGCTCTTGGCACTGGGCGATCGTCTCCTTGCCGATCACCGACTGGTAGTCGCGCACGATCCGCGGGAACGGGTGCGGACCGACGACCGAGCCGAGGATGTAGTGCGTCGTCTCGACGCTCGACATCCAGTCGCGCATCGCCTCATTGACGGCGTCTCTTAAAGTGCGCGAGCCGCTGGTGACGGGCCGCACCTCAGCGCCGAGGAGCTTCATCGCAAAGACGTTCGGCGACTGGCGGCGGATGTCCTCTTCGCCCATATAGACGATGCAATCCAGGCCGAAGTGCGCGCACGCCGTGGCGGTGGCGACGCCGTGCTGGCCGGCGCCCGTCTCGGCGATGACGCGCTTCTTGCCCATCCGCATCGTCAGTAGCGCCTGGCCGAGCGTGTTGTTGATCTTGTGGGCGCCGGTGTGGTTGGTGTCCTCGCGCTTGAAGTAGATCTGCGCGCCGCCGCACTTCTCGCTGAGCCGCTGGGCGTGGTAGAGCGGAGACGGCCGGCCCACAAAGTCCCGCCACAGCACGGCCAGCTCGTCCTGGAACGCCTGGTCCTTGGTCGACTTCTCGTACTCAACGGTCAGCTCTTCGAGCGCCCGCATCAGCGTCTCGGGCACGTAGCGGCCGCCATAAGGCCCAAACCGCCCGAGGGCGTCGGGGACCATCGTGGAGGCGGGTTCTAAGGAAGTAGTGCTCATCGGTTATCCTGGTGGGGTAAGCCATCTATTGTCGGCTGGAGCGGGTCGGCGGGCAAGCGGACGGGAACCGCCAAGACGCCAGGAACGCCAAGGATCGCCAGGGGATTTCACCGCGGAGGACGCGGGGGACGCGGAGAGAGGGAATGGGTGTGGACGAGCGGTCTCAATCACTATCGGAACTTGTCTATCGTCATCGGGCGATTTGGGCGCCTGCGGTTTGGTTTGGCGCCGTGGTGTCGATCGAGTTTGCCCTCAACGCGGCGGTCTACTTCCCAATCCCACGACCAATCCTGCAATGGCTGCTTTGGACAGGTCCCAATGTCGTCGCAGCAGCTATGAGCGCATTCATAGTTTTGGCAAGCCTTTGGACGGGGTTGGGCGTTGGATCATGGCCTTGGCGGATCGTAAGTGCTCTGACGGCAATAGGTTTGCTAGCGGTTATTCAGTCGTCGGGATTGCTGCCGCTGCTCATAGTTTTCTACTCATTACTTTGGAGCGTGTGGGCAGCGATCGGGTGGTGGGTCCGCTGGCGTTGGCGACGAGTTTGGGGGCTTATCGACCGATCAGCCAACTCAAATGCCGGCCACACAACAATTAAGGACCTTTTGATTCTGACTGCGCTATTAGCGTGCGCTCTAGGGCTGGGGGGCTGGTTGTTACGTCGGGAACCTATTGAACAAGACATCTATGACTCGATGAAGGGTTGGTCATTTGTCTTGTCAGTTGGCTTCAATTTCGTCTGCATGCTTGTAGCAGCCGTCAGCCTGTTTCCGGTTCTAATCGCAATGTTGCCAATCCATCCTCAACCGCTCAGTTGGCGTAGAGCGATCATCGGAGGAGTCGTCTCCACTCCACTGATCGTGCTAGTAAATGGCCTAATGGCGTACCCGCACTACTCACAAGTGTTCGGGCAGATCAACTTAGGATGGACCATACTGATGTGGCTTGTCAGTGCAGCATTTCAGGTGCTGGCCATCGTCGCGTCCATCGTATGGCTACGTTGGGCTGGTTATCGGTTAGTCGAGTTGCCATCGGCCCGCTCGTCAGAAATGACCATGACTTCAACGCCGATCCATCCCTGAACTCCTTTTGTTCTCCACGTCCTCCGCGAACTCCGCGGTGAACCTCCCCCTGGCGATCCTTGGCGCTCCTGGCGTCTTGGCGGTACCCATGCCCGAGCTACCCGAAGTTGAGACCATGCGGCGGGGCGTCGCCGAGGCGGCGGGCGCTACGGTCACCTCGTTCGAGCGGTTGCCGTGCCCGCGGAAGCCGATCGGCGTGGCGCCACGAGTGGACCATCTGCGGCGGCGTGTCGTCGGGCGTGGGGTGGCGGCGGTTGAGCGGCTGGGCAAGCGCGTGGTCCTGCGGCTGGAGACGGGCGACCGGCTGGTGATGGAGCCGCGGATGACGGGGCTGGTGGGCGCCGGCGAATCGCCCGACCCGCTTTACCTGCGGGTTGAGCTGGGACTTGAGGGCGTCGGTCTGGAAAGGGTTTGGTTTTGGGACCGGCGGGGGCTGGGGAAGGTTCGGCTTTATTCGGCGGAGGAGTTTGCCGTTGAGTTGGGGCCGGAGAAACTGGGGCCTGATGGGCTGGTGGTTTCCTCCGACGACTTGCGTCGCCGGCTCGCCGGCAGCCGTCGAGCCGTGAAGGTCGCGTTGCTCGATCAGCGCGCGGTCGCGGGGATCGGGAACATCTACGCAGCGGAGATTCTGCACGTGGCCGAGGTGCACCCCGCGACGCGATGCGACCGGCTCACGCAAGCGAAATGGCGACGCATCGCCGACGCGACGCGGGTGGTGCTCGAAGAAGCGGTTCGCTACGAGGGATCGTCGCTCGGCGACGGCACCTACCGCAACAAAC